GGCGTGCTGGTCATAGGTCCTGGATTCTGGTTCCGAGGACGGGTCACTAGTCGATCATACCTCAGGAACGCGATGTCTCCCCTCGCCCTGGCCTCCCTTAACTTCGGCATCAACTCCCTTCTTCTCTTCCTCACAGACTCGGTGTAATCTTCATTTATATAAATGTTAGATCCTTTAAGCTTCTTTGCTTGTTGCAATATGTGTGCCTTATCTTTCTCTTTCATCAACTTTACCATCACCGCCCTTGGTCCACGATCAGAAGGTTTCCCGACTCTGTGAGCCCGCTCCATCTCAATTTCCTGATGAATTTGCAGATTATTCTTCAAAATCTCCTTCACTTTACATTCCGCTTCCGTCCAGCTTTCTCCAGCTGTCTCCTTGATTTCCTCAAAGATCAAGTTTTTTCGCTTGGACTGTGCTTCCAATTGCTCCATTTTGTCCATTATAGTTTAGTCACACGTTTTGTAGACATCATCCCTTGTTTCCTTGGTTTGTGTTTTCTGTTCACCCATGGCAGCTTTAATCACATCCACCTCTCGCTGGGTAAACTGCAAACTCCTTTTTATCTCCTGTATTTCTCTGGTCAAGTCGTCGAATCTCTTGTTGCTTGTCTCCATAATTAGTTGCACGAAACTTTTGAAGTTTTCCTGCTGTTGGTTCATCAGCTCGATGTACATCTCTGATCTGAGTACTTCTTCCACCACTGTTAGGAATTAGACAGGACGACAATGTGGCAAGCAGGGAGTGGGAGGAGTCCAGTATTTGAACAGGGGAGATGATGAGATGCTGATGAGCAAAGGGGAATGGAAATGTCAGGTTACCAGACTGACAGGAAATGCTGCATAGAAGTGCAGACATAAAGTTGAGTAAATTACTTGGACCAAACATGAGTCATTGCAGTATATTACAAATTTTGGTGTGTTTTGGTGTACTATCATATCACAGTTCTCTCACCAGCTGATTGGCTCAAGGAGATATTCAAATTTATGCTGCTGCTGTTGATAGGTTACTTGGTCAGAGGTATGAAAATGTTATTTTCATATAACTGGAATATAAGGTAGGGCTACTGGTTGGAATCCATCTATACATTATGTACAGTAATTCCATACGTTGTTGCTACCAACAGGAGTTTCATGAGCCTCGTGAAATATTATTTTGTTTTTCTTTTTGGTGCTGTACTGTATTTTACTGACTTGCTGATGTGTCTGTTTGCCCAGAACACCATGCATCCCTCTTGAGTTTGAGGCAGCAAAAGGAGAGCCAGGAATGTCAGGTCAGTCACGTTAAATTAATAATGGGTTTGAAGAAAAATAGTGACTGAAATAAATGTTTATTGATGAACACAGAAGCAACACTTTAGCTTTGTCTGAGCTAACCATAGACACTCGACTGTCATGCTCTTCTTACAATCACTTGAATTGGTCAGAGGCCCTGGTCTGTCCTGCTCTTATTACACTGAAAATGTAATTTTGTAAACTATAAAATACTTCACATTGAAAGAAGGTATTTTATTTTATTTTATGCTGGCATGTGACTGTATTTTTTTTATATATAATTTTGTACCACATGTACACTGTCAACCCCTTTCTCTAAGTAGCGTTAGTTAACCAGACTAGAATTCTCCCTAGCGTAGCTTTGTTGTAGTTTAACTTCCTCAAAGCTACACTTTCAAAGTAGCTTCCCCAACACAAGAAAATATATCTAGGACACATAGCACTATATAGCTGTCACAGAAAAGTTACATTTTGTTATTTGCATTACAGTATTACTATAATTACTACATTACTATAAATCTGTGTGTTCTTATAGCTCATGTATACATCCTCAGTGAATTCATTTGGTCCCATGTGGCCAGTATTTCTTTTCTGAGGACATAAAGGTTGTGAGCTAATATGAATAAACTTTTGTTTTTAAAAAAGAGCCTGTCTGTCTTTTGTTGTCCTTTTTCTTTCTCTCTTATTTGCAGGAGGAATGTGTCCTTTCAGCAAAACTGAAGGAAAAACACATTAATGTCATCCAACAGCTGGAAAAAACCATAGAGGACCTCAGGAATAAGATTGCTGAGCTGGAGCGACAGCCCCCTCTGCTGGACAGAGACAGTATGAAACCCATCACTTCCACCACAGATAGGGAGTGTGGAGGAGAGGAGGGCCTGCTGAGGACGTTGTGTGATGCCCACCTGCAGACAGAGGCAGCTCCCTCTTTGGGCTGCCTGGAGGCCAAGTCGGTGCAGACCTCACCCATGGATGACAGCCTTAAGTTCAAAGTGCCTTATACAGAGTTGGGTGGAGTGAACAGCTTCCTACATCCCCCTCCCAGACACCCGGATGGCTTCCACTATTGTCAGCAGCAGCCTCCTCCTCCGCCTCCCCTTCCAGGACAAGCAGTTCCTCTTCATCAAGGTCAGACTGTGGTACCACCTCCTCCACCACCACCACCACCACCACTTCCTCCACCGTTACCAGCAGGCTCAATGCCAGCTCCTCCACCACCACCTCCTTTACCATCTGGTTTAGCAGTTCCTCCTCTCCCTGGTGGAATTGCTCAACCCCCACCTCCTCCTCCTCCT